CTTAGCTGGCATCCTGTCTACTTGAAAACTGAAAGTGCCTTTCTCGTTGGGAAGCAATTAGAGTGTTTTCCTCTTTTTTCGTAACCCCACAGGTACGGTGAGGTTTCTCCAATGAAAGGAAAGAAGCTTGGGGGGCCTGGGTAGTGAGGAAATCTACACTGTTCTATGTCCCCCAGCTCTTTGTTTCTTCTGAGGACTGCCTCAGCCGGCCCCAGGCACCAGACCTGTGCTATTCCAGCAGGGATCAGCTTGCTGGTGATAGAAAGCCCTCTCTGCTGGCTGAGGAAGTGCATTCCTGGGAGGATGTGGAAAGACAGAAAGCCAGATAGAGCCAGAGCTAGTGCAGGAATGTGAGCACTTCCTTAATTGGACAAGAGAACCTTGAACTGGTTCCAGCTGGAGTGTTTTCTTTTAGGGCCTGAACCCTAAAGATTCCATAGAATTTTCTTTTTCCAAAAAAAAAAAATCCACTTGGTTCAAAGGCCCCTTGATAGAAATAAAGCAAAATCCAGGGCTGAGTCTTTTTGATGTTTGGTGGAAGGCAAAAGTTGATGGGCAGCCAGATTCCAGGCTGCTTCGGGGTTCAGAGGGTTCTGGAGGGAAAGGAGGAGGCATCTCCTGGGGTGATACGTGGCGGGGGCACCCACAGCCTTTGTCTAGGCTACAGAGTCCTGACGCTAAGCACGTTTATGGCGGAGGATCGTTTATGGAAGCAGTTTCTCTGGGCCTTATCAGTACCCTGACATGAACAAAAGGAGACTTCCACGGCCAGCCTGGATTGCTTTAGGAGTCACAGAGAGGTCAGGTATCTTGCCTGGGGACAAAGCAAAGTAAGCCAAAGCCTGCAGGATCTTGTCCGTGAGTTTGAGTGGCTCTGTTCTGTTGACTCCTGACTTCTAATGGCCAAGAAGGGAAGGTGTGTTCGGACTCTGAGGCCTCTGTTACCGTCATGTGCCCCTCCTGGGAGTGCTGGCCGAGGTGTAAGTGAAGATGCTCGGAGACAGGGACCTCAGCAATGGCCACCAGACACGGTATCACTGCTGGCCTCTGACGTCTGCCGCCGACAAGCTGGAAAACCCAACTGAGGGACTCGGGGGGAAAGGACACAGTCCCTGAGCGAAGCTAGTAATAGCCTGCGGCGGATAAATTAACCCCCCTGAACTCTCCTTTCCCCCCAAACACCTGAAAAACAAGCCCCAAGTCTGCTCAGTGCTTTCTAACTTGCCAACTGTTTTCATAATAATCTTCTCATTTTGTCCTTACATCAGCCCACACACATCCTTGCTGTTCAGATTTTTTTATGTACTCAAATGAGTTGTACTGCAAAACTGGTCAGAAACTCCTCCCACCCACTCTTTTCTTCTTTTTCTTCTTTTTTTTAAAACCCTAAGCCTTTGGCTGATATCTCTAAAAAGCTCCTAGATTCCCAGAGTGGGAAACTTGTTTACTGGATAGGTAATACCAGGAGGGCCGGCTTTTGCTATTGGAAATCACCACACTTCTGTATTCAGCTCATTGCTTAGCGGAAAAAACAAACAGCATTCTAGGGAAAACAGGCTTTGGAACTGGCAAGCCCCAGCGTCAGTTTCTCCATCCGTAAAGTGGAGCCATAGTGCCTGTGTCTGAGGCGGTTTTGGAGCAGACAGGCATGTGCCTCAGCGAATATTATTCTTTTCCTTTCTCTATTTTCCTCCCCAAAATCAAATAGCTACTCCATGAAATCCCTCTACCTAGCCCAAAGCTGGTACTGAAGTATTAACCTACCAGTTTCTTTGCTACTAGGCAAATGGAGTTCAATACTGTCTTTCTGCAAGCCAAAGAGATACAACGTGGGTATGTAACACTAAATGAATTTAGACAGAGGCTTCCTTTTCAACTAGAAGAATAAAGAGCATGCATAGCTCAGTTCCAACTGAGGTAAATCTAATAAGTTCTTAAGTTCATTACATTTATTCTTTGAACAATGTTATTTTAGGCAAAAGAAAGAGAGCTGGAAAACAGAACTTAGGCAACATTGGAAAGCAAGAGCTTTCTGACGACACCTAAGATTTTATTGAAGCTGAATTGTAGTTCAGACCTCTGGCTCCTCAGAACAAAGATAGGAGGAGGAAGGGCAGAGGTCTCTAGGTAGTTAGCTCCTTGGGTACTTGTAGACAGTTCTCAGCAAGTGTCAGTGATGGAACGAGGTGGGTTAGAGTCCAGATCTTGGGTTTGATCTTTGCTGCTGACTTCCTGGCAAAAGCATCGCACAGTGTAGCTTTATACGGAAAGAACATTTGACCAGTGGTCTGAAGGCCCAGGTTCCACCTATACCACTTAATACCCTGGTGACCTCGGACATGCCATTTAATCTCTTAAGTGTCTTCTCACTTGTAAAATGAGGAGACTGGGCTGGGTGGTTTGGAAGGTCTCTTTCAGCTCTGAGTTTCTGGGGTTCTAAGTAACTTCATTGGACTGTATGACTGTACCTTCATGTATTCAAGGGCAGGAAGCATTGAAACCTGTCCCACTGGGCATTGGGGAAAAACTCTTTCATGCTGTAATGCCCTGGGTCTTTAGAGAAACAGAGGAAAGTCAATGACACAGAGAACCTAACAGAGAGGGCTACTCAGTGTGTGAGCAACCTGAGAGCTCCAGGGGCTGCCTCGGCCCTTTGTGGCTGACCTTGGGCATGTCTCCTAAGTTATTTCAGCCTCAGTTTGCACATCTGTAACCCAAAGACTCTAAATTAAGCAAGTTAATCTTACCGCACTTTTTTGAAAGCTGAGGTAATGACAATGCTTTGAAAAACTGCAAGGTGCTACGTAAAGAAATCACACTTGCTCCTGTTCAGCCTACCATTTTCTAAATGAATGAATGCATCACTGAAGTATTAGAGGAAAGGAAGAAAGTATTGGCTTGGAAGTTACAACCTAAGGTTTACTTTCCATTCTAATTACTGACAGTTGAAAGTTAGCTGAAACAGGTATTCAAACAAAGTTTTCCAAAGCGTGAGCACCAGGTAATTACCTGGGTGTTCTCCAATGCAGGGAATCTGCCAAAGGCCGCCCTTCCCACCCTCTTCTCCCAAAGGAGCCCACTTTAAGGCATGGAGTGTGTTGGGGAGGATGGGTTTCTAATCATCATCTAATCATCACACATACCTAAAGTCTGGGTGTTGTATGTCACCATGCCTTTTATCGATGTCTTGTCAGAAAGTGCTCCTTGGGAGAGAGCAGAAGGCTTCTGTCCTGCTGGCCTCAGGGCATGATTCAGGTACCACTGAGAAAGTCCCAGCCTGGAAATCAGCTCTCCAGGCACTGATGGCAACTTTGGTTCCCAGGATGACAACATGCTGTATCCAGACAACCCACAGTACAATTTCCCACTCTCTGCAGCAGGCATCAACAGCCCCTTTGTGGGAAGTAACCCTCCTCCCTGAGGGTCTACAGTTAGTACATAAAAGCAGAGCCCTCCCTCAGGACACCCCCCCCCCCCCAGGAGCAGGAATGAAGCTGGTTCTTCGTGGCACCAGTGGATTCGTGCTTTAGCTTGAGGGGTAGGGACAGACCACTGATTTTTCTGTTTGGAGGGACGGCTTATCTTGAAACCACGTTTTATTCGGAAGCATTTTTAACTCAGGTTGTATATGCGAACGATTGGAAATAGCAATGTTCTTTTAATTTATTCTTAATGATCCTTTCTATCAGAGTTGCTTTGGGAGGGCGATGAGCCTTAGGAGGGTCCCTTCTCCTGGCTTCCTCACGGGGCCGCCTGTGAGACAGGTCCCTTTTATCCCATAGTCCTTCTCCCTGAGAGAAGCTCTTTTTACAAACGTAGGTACTGATTCCATACATTCAGGGCCCTTCTTGCAGAGCTGACTTAAGGCAGCTAATTTAACTTTGCTTAGTTTGCAGGACCACTGCTCCCCTTCCTCCAGCCCTCGTATACACAAAGGTTAAGATTAGAAGGCTACTGTATGTGGCTAATTGGAGCAGAGGCCACAGAGAGGCAGCGCTGGGTGCCGGGCCAGATTCCCACGGTTCCGAGTCTGAGGGCTGCGCAGCTTGGCCGCCCGGACAGAAGCTGGAGCTGCAGTTTTTGGTCATTGCATGCGCATTCCTCTGAAGCCCTTTGTTTCTGCTGTTAGGGAGACTCCCTGGGCAGATCCGGGAGGCAAGGCAGAGGAGCGCGCGTGTGCGCCGCCCACTGCGACCCCTACATCCACCGCAGGACCGTGTGTGTGCATGTGCGTGCGTGCGTGCGTGCGTGTGTGTGTGTGTGTGTGTGTGTAGTGGAGGATAAAAAGCCCAGCAGTCACCACATTCTTTCTCCCATGAGCAAAACATCTCAGGGCTGCAGACCAGTCCATTGTAAACCAAATGGTCCCCGCGAGCAGTGGGTCCCCCAGCTCCGCGATCCTACTGCCTTCCCTCTGGCTTGCGCGCAGTTAGCCCAGGATGGACACGGCAATCGAGGGGCCACGGGCCACGATTCCGGGGGAGAGGCCTCATTAATTTGGGTGAGAATCACAGAAGAGGGGTCTGAGGCGTGGGCCGGGGACTGCGAGCGAGTGCCAGGCGGGGCGCGGCGCCCGGTGGCCCGGGTGGAGGAAGGGCGCCCTCCCCCGGTGCAGCCCGGCTCCCGCCGGCCACGTCCTGCGCGGGCCCGTCGCCCTCCTCACGCCCACCGCCGCCGCCTCGGGTCCCCGCGTGTGCGCAGGGAGGGGGCCGCGGAAGCCAACGTGTCTGTGAGCAGGAAGCGGCAGCCACACCGAACTCCAGCCTGGGCGCGCGCGTGTGCGTGTGTGTGAGTCGTGGGGAGAGGGCCGGGCCGAGCCGAGCCGCGGCGAACCGCTGCGCTCCGGGCGCAGAGCCCAGCGCGCCCCCGAGCCGCCGCCCGCCGGAGCTGCGAGCTGAGGCCATTCATGCTTTTGGTGACGTTATTCCAGGAGTGGGTGAGAGGGGGCGGGGCCTCTCCGGGCCAAGCCCCGCCCCCGCCCCTATAAATACGGCTGCTCCGGCTCTTTGTGGGACCGCGAGCTCCGGAGAGTGGGGCGCGCCGTCTGCAAACCGACGCTTCTGGCCGCGGGGCCGTCTCGGGAAGGCGGACCCGCGACGCCTGTACCCACGCTCCGCGCCCGTGTCATCTTCACTCGGGACGCAGTGACCGTTTCTAAATCACAAGGGCGTGGGTCAGCCTCCCCTAGGACTTCATGTCTGTATATTTCTCCATTCACTGGTGAGTATGCTGAGCCCGCGGAGGGCACCCGTCTAGCGGCCGGGGTTGCGGGGCTCCGGTGGGCTCGAGTCGGCTCTGCGCGCGGTGCATCTGAAGGCGTGGGCTCCCAGCGTTACCCCGCCGCCGGAGCCCCTGCAGGAGTCAACGTCAAGGTTGCAAAGGTGGGGGTGGGGGGAAGTGGTGCTAAGAGAGCATCCAGACAAAGGAAGTGAACGCCGAACCTCCACTTCAGGGACTGCTGGAGAGTGTCGGGTGCGGTGGCGGTGGGTGGGGAGAGCCAGGAGTCCCGCCTGAACGCTCCTAATGTGGCTGAATGCGGAGGGCTGCAGGAGACGCACGCCCTGCCTGGGGGTGGGGGCTCTGACTCTCTCCGGACGCCCCCCCCCCCACCTTTTTCTTTTTGTTTGGGTGCAAGTCTCGGCGTCGAAGCCGGCTGCTGGGGTGTGTACGTGTGTGTGTGTGTGGGGGGGGTGATCTGGTGCAGCCGCGGCTTTTGCAGAGCTCTGGGGGTGAGAGGAGGGAGCACTCTCCCCACACCTAACCCACAAGCACCAGGGCACACGCTGCAACCTCTCGACCCCTGCCCTCTCCAAAACCTCTAACACCGACGACGCGCTTTTGTGGGCGCCAGGGCTGGGGAGGAGCCCCCCTCGCTGTGCAGAGGAGCAGCGAGCCGGGACCCTGCTGGAGGAGGCAGCGATTTGCCCCTAACCGGGAAGGATGCAGGGAGAGGCCCCTGTCTGCTGGGACTTGCGGGCAGGCTGTTTCTTCCTTCCTGCGCCGGGGGAGAGGAGGAGCGGCTAGGGCGCGCTTTCAGGTGGCAAAGTGGAGCCGGGTCCCAGATCCCGGCAGGCGCCCAGCCTGGGAAAGCAGGGCTTCAACCAGGCGCGGTGCTTCCTAACCCGGGAACTGGAAAGTTCATGCTTTTCGACTTTCAACTCTTGGGGCCCGCGCCACAGACCCGGGTGAGGACACTCCGGTCCTCTGCGAGGCTCAGAGCCTGGAGAGCTTTCTGTGTGTTCCTCTAGCCCCTTTCTTTGGGGTCGCCTGCTCTGGAGGGAACTCCCCTGAAGCCCAGGTCTGAACCTAAACTGAAGGCCAATCCTAGCATCTTCCTTAGTCTCAAGTCTTGCATCCTAGCCTGGCTCTGAACTCTCAAAACAAAGTAAAAACTGCCCTACCCAGAGGTTCTCGCTCTCTGTCTCTCTGTCTCTGCCTCTCTCTCTGTCTCTCTCTGTGTCTCTCTCTCTTTCTTTTTCTGTGATATGGGGCAGCAGGTGCTTTAAGGTGGAGACTTTGAGCCTCTGCCCTTAAAATTTAGCAAGGTATAGAGCTGGGGATTTGGTTCATCGGTATAAGTGCCTGCCTTGCAAGCACAAGGTCATGAGTTTGATCCCTGGTACCAAAAAAAGAAAAAAAAAAAAAAATAGCAAGGTAGATGTTACAGCCCCTTAGGGCTGTTAGCCCCTGAGAAATTGAGATTTAGCATTATTTTATTGGTCAGAATTTCATAGTTGACAATACTTTTTCCTAGCCGTTAGCCCTTCACATAACCATGAAAGGTGCATTGTAAGCATCTTAGTGACAAACAGCACCTGTAGCTCTTAGAGGTTCTGTGACTTATTTAAGACCATGCAGCTCCAGAGCAGCACAGCCTGGACCACAACCTACTGCTTCTGTAGCCAGATACAATGCCATTTCTACTCTGTGTAGTAACTGAAAAATAAAAATGCCTTAGATATAGTCTCTTTCAAGCCTGTCTTTCATTATTTCTTTTCTTTTTTTTTTAACGACAAGCACAGTCACAGTGTGAAAATACTGGGTGCTGTGTAGTTAGTACCTGGATTTGGAATGTGTATCTGGCATACCAGGACTCTGAGTGTGCCGATGGTTTGTGCAAGGATAATGGAACCTCTGTGTCCTGCTTAGGGAGTACAAAGCACTTTCACATGTCAGCCAGTGGTGGGCCAGCTTGGCCCCTCTGGAAATTTCCTTTGCAATCAATGTCCGGGTATCCTTAAGGCTTTAATCCACGGGATGTTTTTCAAGCTGTGAGCTTGCAGCTGCTGCGGCTGGGGCTAGAGAAGGGGGTTGGATGGCAGATGTGAAGCTTGCAGAAAAGCTGAACCCTTGGGGCTTTAAGTGGGACATTTTGCCAAAAGGAGCAGCAGACAGACAGACATTTAGGAAGGCAGCAGGATTTGGACTTTGTCTCCCCGAGGCTTTGCCTGTAATTCTTATTACATAATAATAATATGCAGTCCCTCTTTGCAAATTCATGGGAGGATTACTTGTATTCTTAGGTGGAGAGGTGAACAGGAGACCTAGCTGAATTTAATACAGACACATGGATTCATCTTTTTTTCCTAGTTCTGGCCTTTAAAAGAAATCCAGAGAGCCTTTAAAAAAATGCATCCAGGGGCTGCAGTGTACAGGAGACGAGGGCAGAGCAGGGGTGCAGACAGTGGGCTTAGTTCGGGGTTGGGGTGGAAGCCCCAAAATGTGGGCCTTGAGGTGCTTCCTCAGGGTGGGAGCTTATGTGGCCCTGAGCCCCTTGTATCCTGTCTCCAGACTGTCTCCTGCTCTCACAGCAGCAAAGCCACTAAGAGAAGTGCATAAGAATTTTTTGTTCTGGGTTTCTTGGCAGCCCTGACTATCTGCGATCAGCCAAGATGACTGAGGTGATGATGAATACCCCATCCATGGAGGAGATTGGCCTCAACCCCCGGAAAGACGGCCTTTCCTATCAGGTGAGTTGAGTGCTTGCTGGGGCTGGAGGCAGACTTGATTTTGCATCTACTGCCTGCCACCTGTAAGAGCAGCATGACCTGGGGAAAGTTCCTTAGTGTCAGTAAGCCTCAGTTTCTTCTTCTCTAAAATGGGGCAACTATAGCCTTCCCCTCACAGGGCTGTGGGAAAGATTGAGTGTGATAAAAGAATAAATGTAGGCATCGGCGTGTCCTGGACACATGCAGGTTCAGCAGACATTAGCCATTGTTATTTTCAGGCCATCCTGGTTTTATGAACTCACCCACTCACGGCAGCAAGAGTGGAAGAGATCAGAGTGGTCTGTTGGGCCAGGCTCTGGACAGCAGGAATGTGGCTGGGCGGGGTAGCTCACAACGCGAGGGTGGTCTGTTAGGGAAACATCTGTGTCAAACACTGCTTACCTCCTCGGGTTGATGATTGAGCAGCTGATTCAGAGTTAAGTTTCAGAGTATTTAGAGTTGAAGAGGGAACTACCTCAGGGGTGCTGTTGCTGGACCTGAGCTGAGAGGTTATCCTCTCTGGTGGATACAGAATGCACAAGGACCACAAAAAGAGACCAAAGAGACACCTTTATCCTCTCACCCCAGTGCCCTTTCTGGCTTGTCATGTCCAGGAGTGACTGAGGACTTGGTTTACCTCCAGGGAAGCGAACTGGGTTCAGATTGTCAAGCATACTTTCTAAGCTGCTGGGGGAGGAAGAGAGGATTTGCAAGGGAAGGCTTTGGGGACTGCCTCCGGCAGACACGTGGGGCTGGCAGGAAGGGCACACACATCAGCGTCCTTGCTCTTTGCCAGCTGTAAGTCAGGCCTTCTCATTCACCCACAGAGCTGAACTCAGGCTGAGCCTCCCCACACCAGGGCTGTGCATCGTGTGTCTGCAGCTTATGTCGGTGCTGGCTAGAGTCTAGACTTACTCTGCTTGGCCGTTCCTTAGAGCTGCTCCAAGGCCATTTAGTTTAGAAAGAAAGAAACCAACAGAAAGTCGAGGTGGGTACAGCGGGATGATCAAAGAGAACCGAGATGAAAGGTAAGGTTGAGAACCAACTTTAGACACACTCGGGAGGTTCAAGGCGGCTCCTGTGCTTTATGTGAATACAGTCAGGCTCCTCTTGCTGGCTGCAAATGAGGATTCCGTTAGCATGCAGCGGTGAAGCCAGCAGAGGGGAGCATGCTCTTTCCTGGGCTGGTTTCATGCCCTCCTCCCCCGAAGTGAGTCTGAGGGTGGCAGTCAGGGGGGGTCCCCCTGCAGAAATTTCCTGGCCCACTTACCCTGGTGTTTTGGAGACCAAGTTTCCAAGCCTCTGAGTCAGACTGAATCTGTTCGTGGTTGCAGGTGAGATTTTCTTTCAGTTCTGGGTTTTAGATTTCCATCACAGAACCTTTCCATGCGTACTCTTTTGGGTGTGTTTTCTATGCTCCTTTTCATTGTGTCCCAGGGCAAGGGGCCTGGCAGTTGGAGGCAGTTTCCCAAGTCCCTGGAATCCTTAAGGCCATTCTTCCGGATCCCAGGGATACTGCAGGTGATAGAAGAAGACTGACTTGGGGCTCCAATGGCAGCAGCAGGGGTGAAATAAAGTCACATGTGGGCTCCTGACGTATCTCAATGCTGCCTGAAGAAAAGATCCTTTACTGTGGTGCTGGACTGAAGGCCCAGATTGCACAACTCCCAGAAAATCTGTCCCTGCCTCCTGGGTAGGCAGGAGCTACCGCCCAGAGCCAAAAGATCTTACCTGGACCCTCATGACAAGCTTGTCACAAGATGATCTCAGAGCTCTTCATTGCCTGATGAAGGGAAAGCGGAGAGGTTGTAGAGTGTGTGTGTGTGTGTGTGTGTGTGTGTGTGTGTGTGTGCGTGCGTGTCAGGGCCTTTACACCGAGCTTACATTCCCACTTCTTTATTTTTATATTCTGTCTTGAGATAGGGTCTTGTTAAGTTTTCAAGGTGGAACTTGAAAGTGCTGGGAGGTTGTGGTGTTTACCATGCAACATTAATGCTTTGTCTGTTCAGCCTGCTACGCTAGGAGCTTGTGGGAAACCAGCTTGTTCATGAAGATCTGAAACACATGCAGCCTGGTTAGTGCAGGTGTGGCCAATCCAGAGGCCATGGCCAATCCAGGAGTGGGTGGCCATGATGAAACTGGACCTAGTCTGAAAAGCCATGGAAGAAGGAGTCAGGGTAGGGCTGGCCTTTGAAAGAAAAAGAGGACTGTGGAAGAGGAATGCTATCTCTCAGTTTTGTGGCAACTTCCGAATACCCCTCAGCTGGGCTCTGTTTGTGCCAAGTGTGGGGCTCTGCGGGGAACTAGTCTGCCAATTGTCCAGTGATGGATATTTTCAGGCTCTGTTCAAAGCTGGTGGCATCCAATGAAAAGCTTTCCCACCAGAGCTCTGAGGGTTGGTTGGGCCTGGCACTTGGCTAGATCGGGTCACTGTGCATGCTTGGGCTTGGCTCAGGGCTGACGGTGGGAATGTCAGAACTGTGTTCTTGGCTTTACTCCTGAGGATAATAATAGTGTGTGGCTTTTAATGAGACCTGTTTTTCCAAGGAACTGAGAGGGGAAAGGAGACATCAATCCCAACTTGGAAGATGAAACAAAATCTCACGTTTGCAACTTGACCTTGAGACAAGGTCAACAGATGAATGGCTGGTTGAACTGTGTTAGTTGTTCACCCACCTTCCATATCAATAATGAAGCCTTCCTGATTTCTCCATGCTAAGTGTGCCCTTTCTTTCACTGCCTGTGGTGTTTTGTGCTTTGGATGCTAGACTGGGCTTCACAGATACAGATCCTGCCTTACCCTCCCCTTGACTGAGTCCCCTGTGACCTCTGTACCCTCCAGCCACCATCTATGTACCAGTACCTTCCCAAGAGATGCAAAGAGGATGCTGGTGGACCCTCCTGACTTAGAAGCTGGCCACTATCACTTCTCACAGGCCTGCTCAGGGCCATGGCTCAGGTGACATATGTCCTCCTCATTCCCTGAAAGATTCAGCTTAGCCCCATCTATTGTCCTGTGGTCATTAGTGACTTTGTGCAAGCGTAAATGAAAATCTTCAGAGCTGATATCTTGTTTTGCTTCCCATCCATTTGGAAGGTCAGTCAAACAAATGAAATCCGCATCTGCATGTTTATTTGGCACGAATGATGGCACCCAATGGTGTGGGTAGTACACACTTACTAGGTAGTACAAGCCTGAGTACCTGTGGAGTGGGTTGTGGGCTCAGAGCTGAGCGAGAGGTCTCCATGAGGATGCAGCTCCCTCAAGATACCACGTCTTTGGCCTCCGAGTCCCCGGTCGGTGGGACAGGGATGTCTGCTGTCCTCGGGAAGAAAGTCAGTGGCTGCCTGGTGGACCCTGTTCCCTCCTTGGCTTCAGGACTTGGAGAATGTAGCATCTGGCAGTGCAGCTCTGACTGTGTCTCCTTCTATTCTATGCCCCCTTGGCCTGGCCTCAGTATGGGGTAGGGTCCAGGGAGTTTGTCTGTGGGAGGTACCCACACCGCACTTACCCAAGGGGCCTTGCTGTCCCTTTCCCTCAAGCACAGGTGCAGAGGCTCCTACGGTGTTATTACCCTTGCTAAAGTCTAGATGCAGTTATGGCTCCATGGTTTTCATTTAAACTTGTCCCTTCTAACGGGTCCGGACCAAGGTCTGACAGCACTGTCCTTCCCTCAGCCCCGGTAAGTCCCTCTCTGCCCAGCACACATGCCTGACTGGCTGCCCTTGTGTCCCATCTGCTATGACTCTTAGTCACCTACACCTACTGCTTGCCATTGTCTCCTAGGCAGGCAGGCTTTGAGGTCACCTTTTCAGGAAGAGGAGGGGGGCTGCCCTGCCAACCAGAAGGGGTAATTTCTTCCTGCACTGTGGTGTTCCTGGGTCCCACACATTCCTTTTGATCTGAGCTGAGGGCTTCTTGCATGAGTCCTTCATGTCACAGGGTAGAGGCAAAGGATAGAAGGAGGAACCACGGTGGGCTGAGCTTTCTTGACTCTGCCTAGTGCAAGCTTCCCACATTCCCAGGACCTCAGCCATAGCTGTACCCAGGGGAGAGGACAGAGGGTTGAGAACTGGCCTCTCTAGGCTAGTACCTCCCAGGCCCTCTTCCCTCTGCAGCTCAGCCACAGGCAACCCTTGCTCTGGCTCCTCCCTCTTTGTCTCTGTAAGAACAGGTTCCACATAGTTCCTGGAGTCAGGCAGAGAGCTTTCCAAACTCTCCTCACATCCGTCTGTGAGGGGCCCATCTTCACAGAGACCTGTAAAGCTTCACCTGTGCTGTGCTGTGTCCTGCGGTACAGAATGCGCAGGTAACATTAGGGATGGGTTCAGCTTCTTTGAACCCAGGGAACCCTAGGGAAATTTCTGCCCAGCAACTCATCTCTGTCCCCGAGCTCCTGCCTTGAGGCCACTCTGGGCATCACCAGCTGCATGGGTGTCCTCCTCCCTATACCCCTCGATGCATTGGTTCCCCAGCTGTGGCACCCCACATGCTCTCCAGAGTCTCAGAGGCCCTGAGGAGTGGCCACACGCAGGTCCCATGGTCCCCAGGAAATCATCTTTCATAACATCAGACTTAAAAAAGCTTCGCTGGTCCCCCGAGAGACATAAAACTAAAATTCCAAAACACTTGGCAGGAGATGGCAGGCCAGGGACACATGTTATGGCCTGCAGGCAAGCTTTCTTTTTCTCATCTGGACTCTCTCCACCTCCCTCCTTGGTGTTGGACAACAGGCACTGAGGGCCACCAACTTGGGAGGCACCAGGAATCCATCTCTCAGAGTGGCCGTGCCTGTTCCTGAGCTGCCAAACACCTGGCTCAGACCAAGTCCACTCCATGTGAGGACCCAGCAGCTTCCTTCCCGAGCTGGAGGCCTGGACACAAAGTCACTTTCAGTGTTGGGATTGAGGCCTGTAGAGAGCTGGAATGGCCCCCCTGGGACTCTCTCCCTCTCCCCACCCTCTTGGTTACAACAGTTGGT